TTTTTTTTTTTTTTTTTTTTTTTTGCGATTTTTAAGCAACTTGAATTTTAATTCACGAAGATATGCGCCGAGTAATCGTTTCGGTTGTTTCCAATTGTCTAGGGACAATTTTGAAATATCCCTATATCGGGTCGATTATTAATTTATGAAATTCATAAGTTGGAAGGATTGAGAAGAATAAAATAAAATTGTAGTTGCGTTCCACGGTTTTTGCATAATTTATTTTTTTATTTTATCGTTGTGATTTGTCATGATTAATTCAAAAAAATTATTGAAAACGTTATCGATTCGATATATTAAGTATAATAATTTCCAATTGCTCGAGATATTATATATTATATATAATAATATCAGATACGAACGATTTCTTGTCGATGTACAATTCAATGATACACGTGATTATGAGTATATGCACACGCTTTAATTTCTCGTTTAGCTTTTCCCGCAATTACGTTTCATTTAAGACGATCGCAAGAAAAACTTTGATGGAAAAGAATGATGCGCAAAGTGACATGCTCTTTCTATTCGCCAAGAAAATTATTTCTTACTCTTAAAATTTCTACAAGAATGTTGTACATATAACGAATCATTAAATTTTAATCTGGGAAATTTGGAAAGACAAAAAATCTTGCTTTCCCATTTTTTTTTCAAAATAAATTCTTTAAAAAATCCTGACATATTAAAATATTATAAGAATACTCGCTTCCCAATGAAAAAGAAAGAAACGTAGGTCATCTAATTCGCATGACTCATCGACCCTGGCAAAATCCAATCAACGAGGGAACTTTTCAGACTTCTCAGTGTGCAAGCCATAAACTTCCATACGTTATGTAAGTCGTTTAATTGAATGCACATTGCATAAGCATATGGAAGTGTCACGGCCATCATCATCATCATCATCATCATCATCATCATCATCATCATCGTTCGATATCTTTCATCGCGTACCTGCTGACACACATGTGAAAATCGATACACGTTTTCAAGGACTGCTCGAAAAGGTAGCATCCCTTTATCCTTCTCCACTTCTGGCGAAATAACGAAGCTCGCCAGGGTACACAAGCCATTTATCCTCGAGTGTCTCTTAACCCATTTCGGGTTCGAATTAATTTTTTTCTTTTCTTCTCGATATTACATACATATTTCATTATTCGTTTGTTCTAGAGTAATAAAATATAATAGATATAGAAGTTGTGGATTTTATTCTCGTTTAAAAAATTCGATAAAGATAAAAAAAGAATTAGATTTCGAAATATCTCTATTTTATTCTATTTTTCCTGTGACAACCTGCTATTTTTATCGCAAACTGTTCAATATTTTATGCGCACGTAATTTTAAAATATAAATCAATACAAATTTTAAATTATAATTATTTTAAAATTTATTTAAGACAGTTTTGGTGGATTTACAAATCTGGGAGAAAGAAAATAAAATAAGGGAATTTGCATAAGAGAAATTGTCTCCTTTCTTCCCCCCTTCAAAAAAAAAGAATTTCGTGAAAAATTTCATAGAGAACACCGTTGAAAAGATTGTCCAATGAGAGGTGGGAAAATTGGACGGAGGAATAGAAAGTTGCACGCAATTGGGTTGATGTGCACACGTGCTCTCTCGTATCACTCGTTCCCCGACTGTCACTGATTTCCGATCCTCGAGGACGAAGAATGCCCGTGGCTGCCAGCTGCTCGCGATCCTCGATCACCTTAGCCCACCCTACTAGGATCTCTCAAACTGTCACGACCCTTCCTCCAGTTCGCATCGAACCTTCCAACCGTTCCTTCCATCCTTCTCATCCAGCTTGAACCATCCGCGATTCTCGAAATCATCGAGATCACCCTTTCCTCCGAATAGGGATTACCCTTTTAAAATTAATTTATAATCGATCATTATAAATTCTGGAATAATTCTAACATCTTTTCCTTCTGAAATTAAGTTATAATCGATTATTACAAATTCTGGAATAATTCTAAAATCTTATATCTTTCGATATCAAAACCCTTAGAAATTCTCAAAGTTTTCAATCTTCACCAAGAGTTTTTCAAAATTACATTTTCACGAAGAAGAAAAATTCCCAAAAATTACTCTCTTGTTATCCAAAAATCGTAAAACTAAATTCTTTAAACTTTCCCTATCCCGAGGAAGAAATTTTGTTTTTCCTTCCTCCCGAGAGTGAAGTGAAGAATATTAATCTGAGAAAAATGTGGTGTTCGATTTGAACCGGTCGATCGAAATTAAAATCAAAATCGAATAATCGAGTGAGCGTGTGATCGAGAGGGAAGGAATCGACATGGTGGTCTGCGTGGCAGGATTTCTCACGGGGTAGGTTGTTATCCTACAATTGTACGGGGGTGAATTTCGACGTATGATTCATCGCGTGTGATTCACGAAGCGCGAAACAGTCCCTCGAATGGTAATTGCCTGCAGCTGGTGGAACAGAAGTGGCGTTTTTCCTCGCGACCATTCACCGCGATGTTTCGTTGTAGTTATAGTTGGCAGGCTTATTTCTGGTAAATTTCTTTTCAGAATTATAACTAGTTTCGAGTGGATTTCAATTCTACTCTCGTCGAATCGTCGGAAAATTTAGATATAGAAGACGAGTAGAATAGAAAAATTTTCGTTGTTAATTCGTTTCGTCCAGAAAAGAAAAGAAAAGAAAAGAAAAAAAAAAAAAATTCGTGAAAAGTGAAATCGATCCGTAGGGATTGATTCTTTTTCTTATTAAAATATTCGTCATTAATTATCGCGTCAATTTTACCTCGTAAATGTGAATGTCGTAATGAAAACGCGTTTCAATAGAAACCAACGATTTATCTGGCCCGGCAAACGAGATCTCCGGATATCACGTTTGCCAATCACGTGGCGGGCGGATATTCAATAAACCAATGACAGTGCTCGTGTACGAACGTGTGCACGATCAAGAGCAAGATGAGTCCGCGAAACTAACCTACAAGTCTTCGACGATAACCTCATTTACACGACTTATTACAGTATATATTATGTACATATATGCTATCGAATGCATGGCAATATTCGAAATGAAAAATTCCACTCGAAATTATTCTGTACACGATTTTAAAATATCGATCGAATTAATTCTATTGTACAATTTATTATAAAATTCCTATATATATAAATACAAAATCCTGAAAGAAATTTACAATTTTGCTTCACGCTTCCATTTTTTCGAAAAATCTCGAACTAAATTCCAAATCCTCTAATCATTCTCCTGAATGAACAGTGTATCCAAGTGGAATCCGAACTTCTCTAATTTTCATTAAAATTAACATTATATATTAATTTGAAAGATCTATCCGTTTAAAATTCAAGGGATCGTAATATATCCATCGATCTTGACAACCTCTCGTAAACAACGAATCGTTAAATTCGTATGACTAACCATTTCATTTTTTTTTTTTTTTTATTACAGTTTCCCGCAAAAGATGGAAAGGCCGTCGCAGCACACGGCAAACGTGAGCCAAATGCACGGAAGTGGTATGCACGGCGTGTATTCGTCCAGCAGTCAAACATCCCTGACCACATCTTATATCACGGGCCAGTCGTACGTTCAAAGCCAGAACTACGCCCACGGTCCATACAATTCAACGTCTAACGTGAGGGTGTACACTCACGCGGGATATAATCAGCCGCAAAGCTACGGCACCATGGTGCAGGGGTATGGCGGTCAGCCACAAGCTACAGGGTATCAACAGAATCACCTTAAAAAAGGACCTGTACGTAACGGAGACGTGCTGAAGAGATGCAGGCTACAGAATGCGTAAGATCAACATCTGATTTCATCGTTCCTTCCATTTTTCTTTTTTTTTCTTTTTTTTTTTTTTTTTTATACTCACCGATCGAAAAATTAATCGACGACAAATTTGATGGCTCTCCCGTTCCTCTTTCGACGAATTTAAAAATTTGTTTCATATTTGAAAGATGGAATTTTTTTTTTTTAAATTTGAAAGAACGAGAAGATTTGGGATTTACAAGAGAGATTCTTTAAGAAAATATATATATATATATGTGTGTGTATATGTTGTTGTTAAATTTTTAATAAGATATCTTTTTTTATGAAAATTTATGAAAATTCCCGATAAAAAATCAATTGTAATACGAAACTCGTTTGTAAATCAATTTTGAAAGTGAATTAGTTGAAAAATTTTTTGATTTTCGTTAACTAAGAATTTTATACATTGATCTTTACGTTGTTTGTGGCTATTAAAAAAGAAGTGAATTTTCTCAGAACGCACGTCTTCGTTCATAGATCGATTTATAATTCAAGTTTCAACTTTTTAACTTCTTCTCTTTAGCGAAAGCTATTTCTTAATATAAACCCTGTCTAAAGAAATATTTAATAAAAAATAAAAGTCAAACAATTGTCTTGAATCTTATAGTTCAAAACTTAATTTGACTTGAAATGAATTCCATCATCTCATTACAATTTTTGGTTTTTGAAACAGATATGAATTATCTCAGGATCTGCTGGATAAACAGATAGAGATGCTGGAACGAAAATACGGCGGTGTAAAAGCGAGAAATGCTGCATTGACTATTCAAAGAGCTTTTAGGAGATACACTCTATTGAAGAAATTCGCAGCTATCACCGCCATGGCGAAAGCAGAGAAACGCCTTAGCAGAAAACTCCAAGAGACCTCGGAGAGAGTTTCAAACGCAAACGAGCACGAAAGGATGGTTTATCATAGTCAAATTTATATACAACAACCACAGACAGCAAACAGGCCAATGCCTATCAGAAGCATGTCTCTGAGAGAGAGGAGGCACGTGGAGAACTCGCAGTCACCGATACCGAGGAGCCAGAGCGGCAGGTGCGAAGTTCAAATCGGTGGTCATCCACACGCGAATCATAATATACATCAAAGTGGCAGACACACGCCTTCTCTGGCTCCCAGTCCTTGCAACAGACACCAACAATTACCACCGAGTCCATGCTGGGAGTCCAGCTCCCAGGAAAGCGGATCTAGTATGCATTATTACAATCCACAGGTAATTTACATTTCTTATCATATGATTGATTTGTTTCTTTGGAATTTGGAATTTTGAATTTGAAAAGATGAGACATTGTAAAACGTAAATTCTTTCAGTTTATTCAAATTTTAATGAAATTTGATATTTGATTTATATTGATTATTGTTATATATATTATATAATTTATATATATTATAAAATTTTAAATAGATGAAAGAAAATTAAGTTAAAATAAAATTTGATCAAAATACAATAATTTAAGATTACATTTTTTGTTTTATATTTTATTAATTAGTTATAATCGTATTTATTAGTTAAAAACAAAGAAGAGGACCAAATTCTATATCAAAAATAGAAAAAATCTTCTTGTAGAAAGTCAAATGCAAATATATCTATTAGGCAAAAGCATAACACTTATTAGGTACATGATTATATAGATTAACTAATGAATATATGCATTTATGTAAGATTTTATTAAAGATATCCATAATACATAAAAATGTCTATTATTTTTAAAAATTAAAAAATATTTATATATTGATTCTCTAGTAAATGTAGCTATATATTTATTAAATTAATAAATTTATTGTAATATATCGAATAATTTTAATTAATTCATTACTATCATATAATATGCATAGAACAAAAATATTTCTATTTTTCCTTTTAACTTTAAAGTTTATTTTGTAAAATTCGTTTATTCTACTTATATAAATATAATAACTATAAAAAGAATTATTCCTATTCTGTATTTCAGGAAACACTATGCAGCATCAGACAAGAGACACCGCCGAGAGATCTATTACGAACACCATGCACATCACCATCGACGCCTCATAATCTTCAAACACAGGTGGTTCAAAACTGGAATAGCGCTGGTCATCTTGGTTCCGCCGGTAGAACGAGAGGATCAACGAAAAAAGTACCGCCGGAAGTGCCAAAAAGAACGTCTTCCATTACATCCAGATCTATGGAACCACGTCATAATGGTCTTAGCAAAAGCGTTGAAAATGGTAGCCTAAGTTCGGTTCAGAGTTCTGGAAGCGATTCCACTAATTGCGAGAGTTCTGAAGGAGACGCTCAAAGAGGATCACCTGTATGGAAACATAAAGGAATCGTGAGTTTCTTCTATTCTGCGTCTATGATTCTTTTTTATTTCTTTAAAATCTTTTTTAAAGAAATTAATTTAATCACTTTGACATAATGACATTTAAAAAAATATAATATTGTTTTTTTTGTTATTTTCCATTATAAAAAATTTATATAGTGTGACCATTTAATTTTAAAATTAAATATTTTTGTTTTGATGAAATTTTAAAAATAAATAGATAAGCTACAAAATAAAAAGATGTAAATTAAATTAATGGTAATCAAATAATTGTACCGATTGTTCTATCATTGTAAATATATATTATAGATATAAATTCTATTTTAATATTTGCATATAATAAAGAAGATGATGTAATACTTTCATCTATATTACTATATAGATGAATACATACTAACACTACCGTTATAACTATTAATAAATAAATTGATAAATTAAGAATATAAAATTTATATATATATTATTTTATTTTTAATTTCTTTTAAATCTAACTTTATCTTTTTTTTTTATAGTCAAGTTCACCAGAGCATCAAGAATGCACTAACCATACTACAGATTCTAACGCTATGATAAATAGTGTAAAAGATCTTGGTCATTCACATGCCAGTTCCGGTTATCAACTTCCCCTCATGGACCATCCGGAAAATATACCTCAAACAAGCTATAAAGTATCGGAAACTGTTAGAAAACGCCAATATCGAGTGGGTTTAAATTTATTTAATAAGAAACCAGAACGTGGGATTAGTTATTTGATCAGAAGAGGATTCTTGGAAAATAGTCCTCAGGGTGTGGCTAGATTTTTGATTAGTAGAAAAGGATTATCCAAACAAATGATAGGAGAATATCTTGGAAATCTTCAAAATCCCTTCAATATGGCTGTACTTGAGTAAGTTTTATACTTTTATACTATGTACATTTTATTTTCTTGTGAAAAAAAATAAATAAAACTAAAAAATATAATGACACATTCAAAATTTATTTATTTATCATGACCAGTAATCGAAAACATGCAGTTCATTGCTTATTTCTTTTTCTTGTTATTATTTTTCTAAAAACGCAATTGGTTTCATTCGATTCTTTGATAGATACAAAAGATAATTCTGTAAATCGCTGTGAAAGGAATACTAAAAATGGTATTGATCTATTTACAACCAGTCGTTATGTTATTTTGACAAAAAATTTAGGTCAAGGTGGATTGGTAACAGATAACTTTATTCACGGTTGCGCAGTTACTAACATTCATGATATTAAAATAAATTTTAAGAAAATATGAAAACTAATTTTGTTCTTGAAATATAAAATAAAAAATTAACTTGAAATATCTCTAAATATTTCTAAATAATATAAATAAATAAATAGATTCTTTTATCATTAAAAGAATCATAATTTAAATTCAATTATAATTTAAATTCAAATTATAATATTATTAATTTTTTATATAATTGTATTATTTATTAATGCTTAATTATTAATTATAATATATTTTACTAATTATGATATACTTTAAAATAAAATAAAATAAAAATAATTTTTAATAATTTCTCTTTTAGATGTTTTTCGCATGAATTGGATCTATCAGGAATGCAAGTAGATGTCGCCTTGAGAAAATTTCAAGCATACTTTCGAATGCCTGGCGAAGCTCAAAAGATAGAGAGATTAATGGAGGTGTTTAGCCAACGTTATTGCCAATGCAATCCCGATGTAGTATCCAGACTACGCTCAGCGGATACTGTCTTTGTATTGGCCTTTGCAATAATCATGCTGAATACTGATTTGCATACACCAAATTTAAAACCAGAGCGTAGAATGAGGTTGGATGATTTTATCAAAAATCTTAGAGGAATAGATGATTGTGGAGATATTGATAAAGACATATTAATTGGAATTTATGAGAGAGTGAAGGAAAATGAATTTAAACCTGGCTCAGACCATGTTTCTCAAGTAATGAAAGTTCAAGCGACAATAGTTGGTAAAAAACCTAATATGGCTTTACCACATAGAAGATTAGTTTGTTACTGCAGATTGTACGAGATCCCAGATATTCACAAAAAGGAAAGACCGGGTGTACATCAACGGGAAGTATTCCTCTTCAATGATCTTCTCGTTGTGACAAAGATCTTGAGTAAGAAGAAAAACAGTGTTACTTACACATTTAGACAAAGTTTTCCATTATGCGGAATGGTGGTCACACTGTTTGAAGTTCCTCGTGAGTTTCGTATTTAAAATCATTTATATATCATATCATGATGATATATTTTTATATCAACATAATAATTAATTAAATATTTAATAATTAAATAAAAATGTTTTATTTATACTATCAAATATTTTTTTGCTTTTTTTGTTATTCTAATTTTTTTCCCCTAATGAAATATTTTATTATAATTTTTCAAGCATAAACAATTATATATTTAACAATTATATATTTATATATTATATATTATATTTTTGAACTCATTTTTGTCATCTATTATTCTCTGTTTTAATTTTTTTTTTTTTTTCAGATTATCCGTATGGAATTAGACTCTCCCAACGCGTGGATGGAAAAGTATTGGTCACATTCAATGCGAGAAACGCACACGATAGATGCAAATTTGTTGAGGATCTTAGAGAATCTATCAGTGAAATGGATGAGATGGAAACCTTACGGATTGAGACGGAACTAGAACGACAGAAAAGCAGTAGAAGCGCCAGAGGTGGTGCTGAAAATAGAGATTCTGGAGTAGCAGACGTTGAGATATGTCCTTGCCCGGGGCCTTGTTCCGAAAGATCGGAAACTACCGACATGGACACTCAATTGAAACGCTCTGCACTTAGTAATTCTCTTTTGGATATACATGAACAATGTAAATATTATTTTTCAATATTTTATATATAGATTAATTTTCCAAAAATTAATTCCAAAACGTATCGATTGAGAAGATTTAGGTAATATTTGCAATAAATCAATATAAAAAATAATTTTGAAATTTAAATGTATTTTTATATTTTTTCATAGTTGCTGGTGAAAAACCGCAGCGACGTGGAAGCGTGGGTTCACTTGATAGTGGTATGTCGATTTCTTTTCAATCTACATCTGCCAGCTCAATGAGCCAAGGCATTAAACATCCTGGACAAGTTCACTCTATACATCCAGGGACTACAATCCCTGGTGGTGTTAAAGGACTGGCTCAGCAGCCATCTTTTTTAGGAGGTCTATTCACTAAACGAGAACGAAAACTTTCACAATCGGAGGAATCCAGCCCATACAGTCGCACTACAGAAGTGTAATATATCGGTATTATCT